ATGGCGGAAGTGACAACGCTGCGTGAAGAAAACGCCGAGCTGCGCCAGACGCGAGGTGAAGCGCGTCAGGTGTCGCCCGAAGACGAAGGCGAGGGCAACAGTCAAGCGGTGAGCAATCCCTTGGACGCGCTCACACGTGACTTCGAAGAAGAAGATAGGCAGCGAGCGGCAGTAACGCCAGTTGCAGTAACGACGATCAAGATCAAGCCCGTCAACCCGCCCCCGTTTAATCCTACGGACAAGACGGTTACAGTAAAAGGGTGGCTGTTCGGGGTTGAGGTCTTCTTCACTGCAGCAGGAGTTAATGACGACGCCACGCGTATTTTACGCGGTTTCGCTTCTTCGAGGTGCAGCGCTTGAATGGTGGCGCCGAACCTTGGAAACGGGGACGCCGACAGGTGTGACGCATGCGGCAGACGGGACCTCAACAGTGACTAATCAAGTGGCAGAATCGATCTTCGGAGTGACCACGATACGCACGTGGAAAGAGTGGGGCGCAGCCTTACGAGATCGCTTCGAGCACGTATCCGCCTCGGAGCAAGCTCGCATGAAGCTGCGTGCATGTTCGTAGATGGCATCTGTCCAAGACTACACAGCGTCGTTCATGGGCCTCGCCGACCAAGTTGATGACATGTCGGAAGCAGAGCGGTTAGATAAATACATCAGCGGCCTCAAGTACGAGATTCAATACGAGGTTCGCAGGGGCCGCCTGACATCATTTCTTGAAGCAGTACGGCTGGCGGAATCTACGGACGCGCTGATGTAGTACGCGAGAACGGCTTCCAGGGATGTAAAAACCGTTTTCGTGGCCAGACCCATCGGGCCACGATCAACGCCGTCCATACACCCGACCGCCCTCCTAAGGGACCGTGTTACCGGTGTGGGAAGACGGGTCACTACATGAAAGACTGCCACGAGAAAACGCCGCTGACGAGGAAGGAGCAGGGAAATGGGAAGAGTCAGTAATTAGCGGGCCCTTTACTGACTGTGCTCCGTCGCCCGAACCCCACCATCCCCACCGAGTCGTGGTTCCGATTCATGCAATCGATCGCACTCGGCCGAATAACGGGGATACACATGTGGATCACCCTGTGCTGGTCGCTGGCAAGGTGTTAAAAAATAACTTGAAATGTTCGTTGATGGAGGGGCCAGCCATAGCCTCTTCAACTTGGCGAGCGCAAAAAAATGCAAGCTGCAACTTGACAGGTGTCTGCCCGAAATCGACGCTCGCCTCGTGGATGGGACGCCTCTGGCGATAACGGAAGAAACACGGACGGTCAGGATCGAATGCGGCGACGATTTCGGATTCAGCATGAAGTTCCTCGCGACAACACTGGACGGCTGCGACGTGCTGCTGGGACGTGATTGGCTGCGACGGCACAACCCCGTTATCGACTGGACAACGGGATCGTGCAGCATCAACAAGCACGAGGGGCTAATTAAGCTGCCTGCATGGACACCTGACTACATCCAAGCCCCGTGCGTCAAGGCCATCACTATAGCTCGCCACTTCAACAGGGGCGCGCAGCTGTACGCTGTTTGCTTACGCGAGTTGGCGGTTGACACCGACGGAAAAGACATCGAGAAGCTGTGTGCAGCTGTACCACCGGATTTAGCGGAGCTGATTCGGAGGTACCCGCACATTTTCCCCGACGACCTGCCACCTGGACTGCCACCCGAGAGACATGAGGAACACAGAATCCAGCTGGAACCTGGCGCGCAGCCGACTGTTCGGACACAGTGGCGGTTGACCCAGCCGGAACTCGAGGAGCTGCGAAGTCAAATTGACGCACTGTTGGAGAAAGGATTCATTCGGGCCAGCACATCTCCCTTCGCAGCACCGATCCTGTTCACTCCGAAGAAAGACGGCGGGCTTCGCATGTGCATCGACTATCGCGCGCTGAACCGGGTCACCATCAAGTCTCGCTATCCAATCCCACGCACCGACGACCTCCTCGACCAACTTCGCGGCGCTCGCTATTTCTCGAAGATTGACTTACGTGGCGGTTACCACCAGATTCGAGTCTTCGCCGACGACTGTCACAAGACTGCGTTTCGCACACGCTACGGGAGTTACGAATTTACAGTGATGCCTTTCGGCCTCACGAACGCGCCTTCGACATTTCAACTGACCATGAACAGGGTTTTTCGGGATCTTCTAGACCGATGTGTCATCGTCTACTTGGACGATATCCTGATTTTTAGCAAGACAAGGGAGCAGCACCTCCGCGACCTGGATGCAGTGTTTAAGCGGCTGCAGGAAAACCTACTCATCACCAAGGGCTCTAATTGCGAGTTTTTTAAGCAGGAGTTGGAGTTTTTAGGGCACGTCATATCACGCGAAGGCATTAAAATCGACCCGGCGAAAATCAAGTCCATACAGGAGTGGAAGTCCCCGACGAATGTCACGGAACTTCAAAGTTTTCTCGGATTCGTGAATTACGTCATGCGGTTTATCCCGAATATGGCGGGGATAACCGGCCCGCTGACCGACCTGCTGCACAAGGACAGGAATTTTGTGTGGGGGGAGGAGGCAGAAGCGGCTTTCCAGGAACTCAAGAATTTTCTAGTTTCCCCTCCTGTGCTGCGCATCGCTGACCCGTCGAAGCCGTTCGAAGTCGTCACCGACGCCTCAGATTTCGCCATCGGAGCTGTGCTTCTCCAAGATTTCGGGAACGGGTTGCAGCCGATTGCCTACGAATCACGCAAGCTGCAGGCAGCCGAACGCAACTACCCGATCCACGACAAGGAGATGCTCGCCATCATCCACGCGTTCAAATTATGGCGATGCTACCTGGTGGGCGCTGACGTCACTGTTCGCACGGACCACAAGTCCCTACAGTACCTGCGAGCCCAACCCAACCTCAACCCACGACAGATTCGGTGGCTGGACTACATGGAAAGCCACTTCACCTACCGCATCACGTACAAGAAAGGGGCGAATAACATCGCCGACGCCCTGACCCGACCGACAGTACAATCCGCTGCAGTACTCATCACCCATTCGAACCCGTTACTTACTGGACCATTTACCCACGGCTACACCACGGACCCGTTCTTCACGACTGGGAACCACCAGCAGGCCACGACGCAGAAAGGGGATTATTACCTAAAGGCCGGGACCGACCGGATTTGGGTTCCCGCTTACAGACTGCTGCGTGAACTCCTTATCCAGGAGGTCCATGATTCGAACTTCTTCGGACACTTCGGGGTTGACAAAACCCAGAAATTACTGCACCGTCAATATTATTGGCCTGATTCCTCTAACGACGTGCAGCGATATGTGTCCTCATGCAGGGTGTGCCAAGCCATGAAATTGACACGTCAACGGCCAGTTGGGCTGCTGCAACCCCTCGAGCCACCCGAACGACCATGGCAGCAAGTGACAATGGATTTTGTCACGGGGATGCCAGCTGGGCCGTTCGGCAACGACGTTGTACTCGTCGTCGTCGATCGCTTCACAAAGATGGCGCACTTTGCCCCATGCCGAACGACAATCACAGCCGAAGAAACTGCGCGTCTCTTCATCTCAACGGTCGTGCGACTGCATGGCATCCCTTCGGCGATCATCAGCGACCGCGACCCGAAGTTTACATCGAAATTCTGGAAAGAGACGTGGGCACAGTACGGCACGAAATTACAGTTCTCATCGGCGTATCATCCACAGACGGACGGCCAGACCGAGCGGACCAATCAGACCATGGAGCAGCTGATAAGGACAAACTGCCCCGACCCTGCCCGCTGGGAAGAATCTCTCGCCACGTTGGAGTTCGCCTTCAACAACGCACCGTCCAGTACGACTAATCACTCCCCGTTTTTCCTGAATCACGGGATGGACCAGACAGTGCCTACGGCGACTTCGCTCGACAACCCAGTCCCACGGTCACAAACCTTTGTGACGGAACTTCAAGAAACCCGCGAAAAAGCCGCAGACGCAATTCGCAAGGCGAATATCACTTCCCGCAAATACACCGACCTTCTACGCCGGGAACTTGTCTTGACTACTGGGCAACTAGTGCTACTGGACACGAAGAACCTGCACCTGCCCGCCCCGTCGAAACTACGGCCACGATTTTGTGGGCCATTCAAGATTATCAAGATGGTGACACCTGTCACCGCGAAGCTGTTGCTACCCGACGACTGGCGAATTCATGACGCCTTCCACGTCAGCCTGCTTCGAAAATTCGTGCCAGCCACGACCGACATCGCGAGGCAACAAGCTGCCCCAACTGCACGACCTGTCCCGGAGCCGACTCTTGAACCTTCAAAGCTTCTGGCACATCGGGTTCGCCTTGACGCAGCTGGTCGCCTCGTGGATTTTCTCATCCGTTGGACTGACCGCACCAGTGAAGATGACACGTGGGTGCATTCTGACTCGCTCGACGCCTCGTCACTTGTTATTGATTATTTGGCGCGCAAACGCGTTTCAGACATTGACCGCCTTTCTTAAGGGGGGGGGGGTAGTGTAAGGAATTTTCCCGAATTCCTTATCGGGGTTGACTGCTACGCGTACAGCCCGATTTTCGGACTTTGCACGTTCGGCCGATTTCAACGCTGCCGAGGCTCCTCGCGTCGCCTTCAGCATTTCTCATCGCCAAACCTGCACCCCAACCTCACTCGTCCGAGGTTTCCTCCTAGTTAGGCTAGCCCCTACATTAGTCTGTGCCTTCATTGTATTCTCAGACCAGTTCAAGCCCAAGACCTGAATTACTCAACGGAAGTCAACGGGAAAAAATAGGTTCGGAACCAATTTGCGACAAAAGAAGTCTCGCATACAAGAATATGAGCGATGGGTGGGGTCGTTCCCACAACAACCAAAAAAGGGCATCCATCCCAAACTGTGCACACTTTGAGATAGCACGCAGATAACTAGGCATAGAGCATACCTGTAGAGATAGCAGGGAATCAGAGGCGCCTTACGAATGGGTGTGGCACGAATTTCGATGACGACGCGCAAAGATAGTGTTCGCTGGTGTCGAAATGCAGGTTCAGTGCAACTGATGCGTAAACTCGCGGCGAATAATAGCGTGACCCTTCGCCCAAGCGTGAACCTCTCCTCGCCGTCGCTTTCCGTTCCCAAGGTCCCACGAGGGAGATCTCATTCGCCATCGCTTTCCCAGCTCGTCGCCTTCAAGACCTCATTCCGATGCCTTCGCGACCCCAGCCCGTCGCCTTCGCTCCGCCCGTCGCCCTCGCTTTCCACGCCTGTCGCCTTCACTTCCCCTCCCCCGTCGCCTTCACTTCCCCTCCCCCGTCGCCTTCACTTCCCCTCCCCCGTCGCCTTCACTTCCCCTCCCCCGTCGCCTTCACTTCAACTCCCCCGTCGCCTTCACTTCCCCTCCCCCGTCGCATTTCCCGCCCGTCGCCTTCGCTACTCCCGCCCGGCGCCTTCCCTTCCCCTGCCCCTCGCTCTCGCTTCCCCCGCCTGTCGCACTCGCTTCCCCCGCCCGTCGCACTCGCTTCCCCCGCCCGTCGCTCTCGCTTCCCCCGCTCGTCGCACTCCCCGCCAGTCGCACTCGCTTCTCCGCCAGTCGCACTCGCTTCCCGCCCGTCTCACTCGCTTCCCCCGCTCGTCGCACTCCCCGCCCGTCGCACTCGCTTCCCCCGCCCGTCGCTCTCGCTTCCCCCGCTCGTCGCACTCGCTTCCCCGCCAGTCGCACTCGCTTCCCGCCCGTTGGGCTCACTACCCCTCCCATTGCCGTTCACTCTCTCCTGCTCACGCTCTGCCCTCCGCTAACTCTCTCCCCCTCCCTTCACTCTCTCTCTCACGTACACTCCCTTTCCCCCTATTCTCACTCCTCTCTTTCCCCCTCGCCTCACTCTCTACCCCCCTGCTCAATCCCTTCCCCCCTCGATCTCTTTCCCCTACTCTCTCTCTACCCCCCTGCTCAATCTCTCCCCCCCTCAATCTCTTTCCGTTGCTCACTCTCTCACTCTCTCCCCCCCTGCTCACTCCCTCCCCCCCCGCTCACTCTCTCCCCCCCTGCTCACTCTCTCCCCCCCTGCTCACTCTCTCCCCCCCTGCTCACTTTCTCCCCCTCTGCTCACTCTCTCCCCACCTGCTCACTCTCTCCCCCTCTGCTCACTCTCTCCCCCTCTGCTCACTCTCCCCCCGTGCTCACTCTCTCCCCCCCTGCTCATTCTCTCCCCCTCTGCTCACTCTCCCCCCGTGCTCACTCTCTCTCCCCTGCTCACTCTCTTCCCCCCTGCTCACTCTCTCCCCCTCTGCTTACTCTCCCCCCGTGCTCACTCTCTCTCCCCCCTGCTCACTCTCTCCCCCTCTGCTCACTCTGCGCCCCTGCTCACTCTCTTCCCCCCCGCTCACTCCCTCCCCCCCCGCTCACTCTCTCCCCCCCTGCTCACTCTCTCCCCCTCTGCTCACTCTGCGCCCCTGCTCACTCTCTTCCCCCCTGCCCACTCCCTTCCCCCCTGCTCACTCTCTTCCCCCCTGCTCACTCCCCCTCTGCTCACTCTCTTTCCCCCTGGACTCACCCGCCTTTCCTCCCTGTTTACTCTCAATTCCCCTTCGTTCAACCATTTTTCCCCACACTACTCTTATTTCCCCTGTTCAGACCCCTCGGTTTCCCCTGCTTACTGGCTTTCCCCCCTGCTCGACCCCTTCTCCCCCCTGCTCACTCTCTTTCCCCTTTTGCTCACCCCTCTGCCCCGTCCACATCCAACCCTCGCTTATCTGCCATACCCCCTCTTCCCTTCCCGTTCTATCACAGAACCATGAACAGGTGCCCAGCACCATGAGTCCCAACAGGAATGTGATGATTGTGTTCCTATAGTCCATTGTTGACAACTTTTATACGGTATAAACACTATTATGCTTTGTTCAACTTCTTTGTAGTGGCCGTGTGCATGGCTGCTCTGAAGCAGAGAATGTTTTATTAATAGAAGCATAAGCATCAATACATGGCATGGCTACCTATTTGTCATACCACTATCATCAAACAACAAACACTTCACAACTGGATGCATGGCAGACCTGCACAAACACGAACCACAAAATTTTGTGTGTCATATGTTGAAGCAGCTGGGAAGGATACCGTACAAAACAATAACAATCGAAATATACAAACAGGCTAGGAGTGTACAGGCTTGGAAGGGAAAGGGTGGATGGGAGGATGTGAGAAATTCAAGGAGGGAGTAGGCAAGTGGGTCAGACAGAAAGGCGGAGGATAGGAAGATCGGAAGGTGGCAGCTTGAAAAAAAGGGCGGTAGGGTGGAGAGGCAGGAGGATGAAAGAAAGAGTGGGTGGGAGCGTGGTAGGGAGGAGGGAGGCTTGGAGGAAGGGCGGATGGGAGAAAGTGAGGGGGGTAAAAGTGTGGCAGGGTATAAGGGTGGAACGGGGGGAAGGGAGAATCAGAGAGAAGGAAAGAAGGGTACAAGGGTGGGGGGGAGCGTGGGTGACGGTGGGAGGGGGTGTAGGGAGAGTGGGGGGCAGCGAGGGCGACGGAGGGAGCAAGCGTGGGCGATGAGAAACGTGGGGGAAGGTGGGGGAAAGCGTGAGCGACGGTGGGAGCGTACGCGACATTATGGGGAAGCTTGGGCGACGGTGGGGGGAAGCGTGGGCGACGGTGGGAGGATGAAGGCCGAATGAGAGAAAGGGGGATGAGAGGATAGGGGGATGAGAGGAAAGGAGGATGAGAGGAAAGGAGGATGAGATGATGGGCGGATGAGAGGATGGGCGGATGAGAGGATGGGCGGATGAGATGATGGGCGGATGAGATGATGGGCGGATGAGATGATGGGCGGATGAGATGATGGGCGGATGAGATGATGGGCGGATGAGATGATGGGCGGATGAGATGATGGGCGGATGAGTTGATGGGCGGATGAGATGATGGGCGGATGAGATGATGGGCGGATGAGATGATGGGCGGATGAGATGATGGGCGGATGAGATGATGGGCGGATGAGATGATGGGCGGATGAGATGATGGGTTTAGGGAGATGATGGGCGGGCGGGAGGAAGGGAGGGAGAACGGGCAACAGAAAGGGGAAAGAGGGTAGTGAGGCAGAGAGTGTGGGATAGATGGAGGAAGGGAGGAAGAAAGAGGGAGAGGAGGACGACTGTGGGGGCCCCACGGAACGGAGTAAGGGAGAAGGGCAGGAAGTAAGAGTGTGGCAGGGTATAAGGGGGATAGGAGGATCCCTGCACCCTCTCTCCCTAACCCCCGCCTCCCCCGCTCCGCATCCCCTAACCCGCCCCCTGCAGCACTGCACTCCTTGCTGCCCGCCTGCACGCGCTGCCCTGGGTGTGCGCCCAACACTCTGCTCCACAGCCGCACCACCACCTGCCATGGGCGACGATGGGGGGAAGCGTGGGTGACGGTGCGGGGAAGCGTGGGCGACGGTGGGGGGAAGCGTGGGTGACGGTGCGGGGAAGCGTGGGCGACGGTGGGGGGAAGCGTGGGCGACGGTGGGAGGAAGCGTGGGCGACGGTGGGAGGAAGCGTGGGCGACGGTGGGGGAAAGCGTGGGCGACGGTGAGAGGAAGCGTGGGCGACGGTGGGGGAAAGCGTGGGCGACGGTGGGAGGAAGCGTGGGCGACGGTGGGAGGCAGCGTGGGCGACGGTGGGGGGAAGCGTGGGCGACGGTGGGAGGAAGCGTGGGCGACGGTGGGAGGAAGCGTGGGCGACGGTGGGAGGAAGCGTGTGCGACGGTGGGAGGAAGCGTGGGCGACGGTGGGAGGAAGCGTGGGCGATGTGCGGGGAAGCGTGAGGGAAGGTGGGGGAAGGTGGGGGAGGGCGCGAGCGACGGTGTGGGGAAGCGTGGGGGAAGGCAGGAGGGAGCGTGAGCAGCGGTAAGGGGAAGCGTGAGCGACGGTGGCGGAAAGCTAGGGCGACGGTGGGGGAAAGTGTGAGAGGTGGGGGAAAGCGTTGGCGACATCGCGGTTTTGACAAGGACGGAAAGTCACAGAAATGTGATTTTTTTGTGATGAATACGTGACTATTTTCCGGGGGTTGTGTGAGAGACGGTGGGGAGAAGCGTGGGGGACGCAACGGTGCAAGCACAACCTGAATTACGAAAGAAGGCAAACTGTGCACACTTTGAGCGGTTGTTCCTTCAGGAGGAAACAGTTGGGACTCTCGCCAACCATACTTGTTCTCCCCTACGACTCTGTGTTTTTTGGCGCGATGTTTTCTGGTAACCAGCCTGGCTCGGGAAGTCAACTGTGGGTTCGGAAGGCAAACTGTGCACAGTTTGCCTTCCTCTTTTTGTAATTCAGGTCTTGGGCTTTAATCAGAGTCCTTCGCATTTCGTTTACCTGCACACTCTCTTTTACAACTCATAACACCCCAGGCACCCAACCAGACCATTCGACTGTTGTCCTCACCCTCATCATCATTCTCATCCCATCCTTCGCTCGCTCACAATCTTCAAAATCCTTACCTCAATTCTCCTTCCCTTCAATCCTATTTCAGGTGTCCAGTTGAAACCCTAACCTGGTTCTGTTAGTAAAAATCCAGATTTGGTCGCAACGCATCGTCCTTAGGTGTCGTCGCCATGGATCGGCGTAACTATCCGCCCGGTCCGTCTGGTTGGGATCCTAATGTAAGATCCCGCATGTGCTAAAATATCTAATGATTGCGCGTTCTGGGGTGGTCAAGTGCTCAAATTGTTTAACTGTGTAAACCTCTTATTTTTTTCGCTTTTGACCCTTTCCCATTTCCACTCGTAGTCCGTTTCCCTCTTCCATTCCCGTTTTTTTTCAAGTCCTCCGCCTTTCATCTTACGCTTTGCTCGTCATTTTTCTTGGTGATCTTCTGTCGTGTTTCCTCTGCAATCGTCCCTCGCTTGGATTTCGCGCTTTTCGATGTCCCCTAGTGCCCATTTTAAAACGAACTGATTCACTGAATTCTACCCTTTCCGCTTTCATAACTGTTGAAGTTTAGGTTGCGTGAGGCCTTCCCTTTGCAACCGATTCGTGTTGTGCTGTATAGTTCGTACCCGCCTGATCCTTTTCTTACCTTGCGTGTCTCCCATTCCAGGCACCACCACCCATGGATCAGCGATACAACCAACCGCCGCCTTCACAGCAGTATCCACCTCCTCAGCAGCAGCAGCAGCAGCAGCCGCCGCAGCAGCAGCAGCAACCGCCGCCGCAGCAGCAGCAGTTTCAGCAGCAACCCTCTTATCCTCCATACAGCCAGGGTCCGCCTCAGGTTCCGCCGTACAGCCAGGGTCCGCCTCCCCCGTACGGCGGAGGCCCGCCGCCGGCATCTTATAACGAGCCGCCGCCACAGCCGTATAACGCGCCGCCGCCACAGTATCAGACTTACGCCGGCGGTGCACCGTACGGTGGTGCCCCTCCCCCGCAGACGAGCTACAGCCCTCACCCACCCGCGTATGGCGGGCCGGCACCTGGTTACCCCCCGCCGCAGCAGCATCAGCAGCCGCCGCCGCATCTCCCGCCGCAACAGCCGCCGGCGGGATACGCCCCGCCGCCGTGGCAGGCGCAGGGACAGCCGCCAGCTCAGGGGCAGTATCCGCCAGCTCAGCAGATGCCAGGTGGCATGCATCCTCCTGAGGGGCGACCCGATCCGTCCGCGGCAGCCCCGTGGAAGCAACGTCAGCAGCCGCAGCCGGAGGAGGAGAGAGGGAGAGACAGGGACGAACGTGGCCGCGACCGCGACCGCGATCGTGATCGGGACCGCGACCGGGATCGGGATCGTGATCGCGATGGTTCGTCGAAGCCGTCGCTCAATCGGTACCCGCCGCCGCAGAGCTTATACAGCGACCCGCTTAAGCCGGCACCTAGCTCGATCTACGAAGACGAGTCGCCGCGCAAATCGAAGCTAAAGGTGGAAATGGTAATGGGAAAGGCGGCCAGTGCGGATGCTAAGACCGGCGCTGCTACATCGGCTATGTCTCAAATCCTTGCTGCCAGATCTGCCGTTTCTGCGCTTCTCGCGGCGACGAACCCGCAACTGGCGGCGGCGCAGCAGCGCGCTGCTGCTGTCTCAGCAGCGATCGCCGGATCGACGGGATCCGGCGGCGCGGGCTCTGCCGCGGCGGCGATTGCGGCGGCCGCTGCGGCGAAGAACCCGCTGCTGGCGAGTAACCCGATTCTCGCGGCGCAGGTCGCGGCTCTCGGCGGTTCGAACGCCGCATCTGCCGCTGTAACGAAGGCCGCGTTACTAGCCGCCGCCGCGAACAGCGCGAAGCTGGGCGCGGTCAACCCCGGGCTCGCCATGGCCCTGGCTATGGCTGCCGCGAAACAGGCGGAAGCGGCGCGGGCGGAAGGTTTACCCGCGGAAGCGGACAAGGACAAGAAGGCGGAGGACCGCGCGGGGGAGAAGCGCCGCCGCTCCCGCTCCCGCTCGCGCTCCCCGTACTTCCGCCGGGGGAGGGGGAGATCCCTGTCCCGCTCCCCTCCCCGCCGCCGAACCAGGTCCCCGGTCCGGGAAAGGAAGCCTGGGTCCGCGTCGCCCACGCGCAGGAGCCCGTCGCCCAGGATTCGCAGGCGACGGTCGCGATCGCGGTCGCGGTCGCCCGTGCGACGCAGGCGGGGGAGATCGGCGTCGCGCTCGCGGTCGCCGTTCGGGCGGGGGGGGAGGTTCGGCGGGTGGCGCGGGCGCGGGAGGGAGAGCAGTCCGGAGCAGCCGACGAGCACGGTGCTTATCCGCGGCATTGCGCCGTGGGCTGTTGAAGCCGATATCTTCGCGCTGCTGGTAAGATCCTGTGCTTATAAGAGCCGCTGCTGGTAAGATTCGCTGTGTTTTGAGTCGACCCAAAACACAGGGGGAGGGAGGTCAGTCAGGAGCAACCGCGAGCACGGTGCTCATTCGCGGCATCGCGTCGTGGGCTGTGGAGGCGGATATTGTCGCGCTGCTGGTAAGAGCGTTGGGCTGCAACAGCAGATAACTTGGCACGCTGCAGTGGGCTTCAACAAGGGCTTCTGTTAATCAAGACTTGTATCCCCGTTCCCTTAGCATTTCCTGTGTTGTGTGATGGCAGGGCGAGTGGGGCTCGTTGAAGGAGGTGCGCGTGATCAAGGAGCGGGCCACGGGGTTCAACAAGGGCTTGTGTTTATCAGACGTGTTTTTGTGCTCTTTACGTATCCTTTCTTTGGCAGGGCGAGTGGGGGCCATTGAAGGAGGTGCGCGTGATCAAGGAGCGGGCCACGGGGTTCAACAAGGGCTTGTGTTTATCAGACGTGTTTTTGTGCTCTTTACGTATCCTTTCTTTGGCAGGGCGAGTGGGGGCCATTGAAGGAGGTGCGCGTGATCAAGGAGCGGGCCACGGGGTTCAACAAGGGCTTGTGTTTATCAGACGTGTTTTTGTGCTCGTTACGTATCCTTTCTTTGGCAGGGCGAGTGGGGGCCATTGAAGGAGGTGCGCGTGATCAAGGAGCGGGCCACGGGGTTCAACAAGGGCTTGTGTTTATCAGACGTGTTTTTGTGCTCTTTACGTATCCTTTCTTTGGCAGGGCGAGTGGGGGCCATTGAAGGAGGTGCGCGTGATCAAGGAGCGGGCCACGGGGTTCAACAAGGGCTTGTGTTTATCAGACGTGTTTTTGTGCTCTTTACGTATCCTTTCTTTGGCAGGGCGAGTGGGGGCCATTGAAGGAGGTGCGCGTGATCAAGGAGCGCGCCACGGGGTTCAACAAGGGCTTGTGTTTATCAGACGTGTTTTTGTGCTCTTTACGTATCCTTTCTTTGGCAGGGCGAGTGGGGGCCATTGAAGGAGGTGCGCGTGATCAAGGAGCGCGCCACGGGGTTCAACAAGGGCTTGTGTTTATCAGACGTGTTTTTGTGCTCTTTACGTATCCTTTCTTTGGCAGGGCGAGTGGGGGCCATTGAAGGAGGTGCGCGTGATCAAGGAGCGCGCCACGGGGTTCAACAAGGGCTTGTGTTTATCAGACGTGTTTTTGTGCTCTTTACGTATCCTTTCTTTGGCAGGGCGAGTGGGGGCCATTGAAGGAGGTGCGCGTGATCAAGGAGCGCGCCACGGGGTTCAACAAGGGCTTGTGTTTATCAGACGTGTTTTTGTGCTCTTTACGTATCCTTTCTTTGGCAGGGCGAGTGGGGGCCATTGAAGGAGGTGCGCGTGATCAAGGAGCGGGCCACGGGGTTCAACAAGGGCTTGTGTTTATCAGACGTGTTTTTGTGCTCTTTACGTATCCTTTCTTTGGCAGGGCGAGTGGGGGCCATTGAAGGAGGTGCGCGTGATCAAGGAGCGGGCCACGGGGTTCAACAAGGGCTTGTGTTTATCAGACGTGTTTTTGTGCTCTTTACGTATCCTTTCTTTGGCAGGGCGAGTGGGGGCCATTGAAGGAGGTGCGCGTGATCAAGGAGCGCGCCACGGGGTTCAACAAGGGCTTGTGTTTATCAGACGTGTTTTTGTGCTCTTTACGTATCCTTTCTTTGGCAGGGCGAGTGGGGGCCATTGAAGGAGGTGCGCGTGATCAAGGAGCGCGCCACGGGGTTCAACAAGGGCTTCTGTTTTGTCGACCTCGAGACCATGGTGCGTCGACGTTGCTTCCCTGCCTCGCCTCCCCTCATGCTTGTCGCTATAGACGCAACGCATCCTTAATTTCTCCACTGTTTCCTCTAGATTTTTCGTGTGGCAGTTTGTTTGCCCATGCTCTTTCGCGTGGCAGTTCGTTGGGATTTCTTGCAAGCTCGAAGCCACTGCTATTCATTCGTGAAGGCAAGGCAGGAATGGCTCGGCGAGTTTCACATTTTCTCCCCTTCCTGTTCAGAAGCGAAGCAAAGCGTGCTGGTTATTACAATGCGGTTTCGTGCGGTTGTGTGCAGTTCGTTTTCTCTTTCGCGATCTTACGCTCTCCGTGGCCCGCATAACCTTATGTTCTCCCTTTTGAACCGCAGTCTACCCCTTTGTGTGGCTCTGTTGGAGTTCATGCTCCGAGAGTATGCTCCCCACTCCCGTCCCCTCCCCTCGTTTCTCATCTTCGAGTTCATCCCCTCTTGCCTCCCCTCGTCGTCGTCTTCCTTCCGGGCGCCTTCTCTGACTGAGAGCTTCACCATTTGTCTCACAGCCTCCCTCCTTCCCTCCCTCCCTCCCTCCCTCCCTCCCCCTCTTCCTCCCTCCCTCCCTCCCTCCCCCTCTTCCTCCCTCCCTCCCTCCCCCTCTTCCTCCCTCTCTCCCTCTTTCCCTACCTCCCTCCCTCTTGCCCTCCGTCCCCTCCCTCTCTCTTTCCGTCCCTGCGTTCCCTTGTGTCCCTGTCCTCTTCCCGTGGTCTCCCTTCTCCTGACGTCTCCGCGGTCTCATTGCGCCCCGTCCTTTCTTCACCCGTGTTTCCCGTCACTCTGACCCCGCCTCCCGTTTTCCTCCCCCCTCCTCGGTTGCTGCGCTCCCTGTTATGCGATTTTGTTCAAACCCATTATCCTTTCTCATTCTCTCCTTCCTCCCCTTGTCCTTCTCCCGCCCCTCCCCCACCCTCCTTCGCGCCCCTGCCCCCTCGTCCCACATCCCAACGCCCGCCGCTTTCCAGGAGGCGGCAAAGGCGCTGGTGGAGGGTGGGAGGGCGAAGGAGCTAAAGATGGATGACCGCTTGCTCTTGTTCCACTACAGGTGGAGATTAAAGAGATTAAAGGGCACTCTTGTTAACGACACATTGGTCTGGCTGGGCTGGGTTGTTGTGAGCATATTGGACTGCTCACTCTTGCTCGTTATTGGAAATATTTGTGAGTAGTTAGCACTGTCACATCTTTGAAGCGGGCGTTGGCGCAACAAGAGGAAGACTGGACGCCTTTTTGCATTTGCGGATGGAGAGCTGGTGGTGGTCCCTTGGAGTGTGGAGATCGCTGGTGTTTTTACAAACCGTTCCATTTTTTTTTAGGGGTACAATCGGTGCGAGACGTACAGCACTTCTGGAGGGGGGAGTCAAGGCACTTTGGGTGCAAGGGCACTTGATGTGCAAGGGAGGCCGGACATTGGAGATTTGCTCATTTGTCGGAGCAAACAATCTCTCGTTCAACCCCTCCCAAACTCACACCCGCGAAACACCCTCTCAGATCGTCCCACCTAGTGCCCGTCCCAGCCATTGCTGCCATTCGTCTCCTGCTCTGCTGCTCTCAGGACGTGGCATTCGCTGCCATGCGCAGTCGTCTCACTCATTATTCCTCCCTTTCCTCTCCTCCACTCTCCCTTTCCCCTTCCTCCCCCATCCCCCCCCCCTCCCCGAATCTCTCCGCCTGCTCCTCCTCCTGCTGCTTGTTCTGCTGTGCGTCGTCCGTTGCCCTTTCCTTCCTCTCCTCCTTCCCTTGTCCCCGTTCTCCCTTCTCCCCCGTGTGTCTCCCTTCCCGATCCGCGCCCTTTTCCTCTTCCCGCGCCCCTCTTCTGTTCCCCTCCCTCTCCTCTCTCTCCCTCCTCGTCGCCTTGCCGTTTCCTTCTCCCCTCGCCTCTCCCCTCGTCGTCGTCCCTCTCCTCCTCCTCTTCCGGTCTCTCCCGCAACACTAACAGCAAGCCGCTGCAAGGGGCGGAGGACGGGGGCGCGCTTGCGGACAGCAGCTCAGGGAAGCCCCTGGACTGGGTCTGCCCCTCCTGCGCTGTCAATAACTTCGCGCGCCGCTCCGAGTGCTTCAAGGTGGGTGCTTCCTGGCATCTTGGGTGCTTCCCGGCATCTTGTTCCCCCTTAGAAGAGCCTCAATAGAAGCCCCTGGACTGGGTCTGCCCCTCCTGCGCTGTCAATAACTTCGCGCGCCGCTCCGAGTGCTTCAAGGTGGGTGCTTCCTGGCATCTTGGGTGCTTCCCGGCATCTTGTTCCCCCTTAGAAGAGCCTCAATAGAAGCCCCTGGACTGGGTCTGCCCCTCCTGCGCTGTCAATAACTTCGCCCGCCGCTCCGAGTGCTTCAAGGTGGGTGCTTCCTGGCATCTTGGGTGCTTCCCGGCATCTTGTTCCCCCTTAGAAGAGCCTCAATAGAAGCCCCTGGACTGGGTCTGCCCCTCCTGCGGTGTCAATAACTTCGCCCGCCGCTCCGAGTGCTTCAAGGTGGGTGCTTCCTGGCATCTTGGGTGCTTCCCGGCATCTTGTTCCCCCTTAGAAGAGCCTCAATAGAAGCCCCTGGACTGGGTCTGCCCCTCCTGCGCTGTCAATAACTTCGCCCGCCGCTCCGAGTGCTTCAAGGTGGGTGCTTCCTGGCATCTTGGGTGCTTCCCGCCATCTTGTTCCCCCTTAGAAGAGCCTCAATAGAAGCCCCTGGACTGGGTCTGCCCCTCCTGCGGTGTCAATAACTTCGCCCGTCGCTCCGAGTGCTTCAAGGTGGGTGCTTTTTGCCCAGATTTAGAAGCCCCTTGTTAAAGCCCCTTTAGGGCAGGAAAAGTTGTGGGGGCACGAGAGGCAACCATCTCACGTGGTTTTTACTCAACCATATCACACCACATGGTTTCCACTCAACCTTATTTTTCCTCCTTTGGTTGCGTGCCCTCCTTTCCTTTGAGCAGTGTGTGACCCGCAGGCCCGCCAATCCCGTCACTGTTGCCGACAGAGGCGACGCGGGAGGAGGCGAATATGGGGGCCGAGGCGGAGGAGGAGGTGGCGAGTACGGGGGGCGAGGAGGCGGGAGGGCGGCGGCGGTTGCTGTGGCCATGGGTCCAGATGCGTCGAACGTGCTTATAGTGAGGGGGCTGGATGACAGCGTGCACGAGGAGAGCCTGAGGCAGGAGTTTTCCCAGCATGGCTCCGTGACTGTAAGTGGCGATAATGTGACTGTAAGTTGTTGCAGTGCGACTGAAAGTGGCTTTTATGTGACTGTAAGCGTTGGCACTGCACGGAGAAGTATGATGGAGTTAGAGAATGCTGGGTGGGACATAAGACGCGGATGTGGGATGTGCGAGGTCCCAAGAGTGGTCACAATTGAGGGTAGAGTGTCCATTGCGAGTCAGTACGGCTAGGAGGTCGAGAAATAAATAAAAACAAATACAAAAACAAAACAACAATTGTTTCTTTTTGCCAGGACCACGTATTTGAAGTATTGGCATGAAAATGTATGATCTCTATTGACCGCCCATCTGCCCTTCTTTCTCCATCTTTGACTTTTTGAGACGTGTCTTAAGTCAGCAATCGCTCCATCTGCCCTTCTTTCTCCATCTTTCTGACCTCTTTCTCACCCTCCTGCCCTCTTTATGTCTACCTACCACCTCCTCCTTCTCTCTTCCTTTTATTTCTCTCTTTGCCATTCCGTCTTCCCTCTCTCCCCCCCGCGCCTACACCAGGACGTGCGCATGATGCGCGATAAGATCACACTCAAGTCACGCGGATTCGCCTTCGTCACTCTCGCTAATGTGAGTTCCTCTGTTGCTTCTTGTGCTGAGCATGTATTTGTCCATTACGTGTCAACTCCCTCCCCCTCCCACTCCCACTCTCACTCTCTCTTTTCGCGCCCACCCCTCCCGCTCCCACTCCCCCTCTTTTCGCGCCTACCCCTCCCTCTCCCATTCCCTCAGCCTCCCCTCCCACTCGCACTCCCCTTTTCTCCCCCCCCTCTCTCGTTCTCCCTCCTTCCATTCCATCACTCCGCATCTTCATCCCTGTTACATTCCGTGCCTGTCTCTTTCTCCTCATCCTCCCTCCCCTCCCCACAGGTCGATCAAGCCACGCGTGCCATGCTCACATGTCACAACAAGCGACTCTTCAAGGGAGGGCCGGTCATGCGAGTGGCGTATGCGCCTTGCCTCATTCTCCTCCCATTCCCTCCCCCTCCCAACCACCCCCTGTGCCTTGCATGCCCCTTCTTTCCCATCTTTCCTCCCTTCCCTTCTCCCTCGTCCTTCCCTTGGCCTCCGCCTCCTCCTCCCCTCCCCTCCTACCAGGTCGATCAAGCCACGCGTGCCATGCTCACATGTCACAACAAACGCCTCTTTAAGGGAGGGCCGGTCATGCGAGTGGCGCATGCCCTTCACCTCATCCCCCCCCCCCACTTAATTGCTCGTCCTTGCCCTTACTTCTCCCAGGTGGATCAAGCCACGCATGCCATGCTCACATGTCACAACAAGCGCCTCTTCAAGGGAGGGCCGGTCATGCGGGTGGCGTGTGCCCCTCACCTCGTTCCCCTCCCATCCCCTCTCCCTCCTAACCGCCCTCCGTGCCTTGCGTTGCATGCCCTTCCTCCCTCGTCTGTGCGCTTACTTCTCCCAGGTGGATCAAGCAACACGTGCAATGCTCACATGTCACAACAAGCGACTCTTCAAGGGAGGCCCGGTCATGCGAGTGGCGTATGCGCGCGGCGCCAACCACGGAGTGCCCTCCACGCCCCTCGCCGATGCTGCCGCTGCTGCCTACGCCGCCGCTGCTGGCAGTGGCGCTGCTGAGAATACTGACGTCATGGCTCAGGTATGTTGGGGTTTGGCCTCCTCCTCTTTTCGTTCTCTACTATTCCTACCCCCCAACCCCCCTCTCCCCTCCCACCCCCCTCCCCCCCCCCCCCCCCTCCCCGCTCGTCCTGTTTCCATTCTCACCCGCGTCCTTCCCTCATCCTTGTCGGTCCCACGTGTAGTGTAGGCGTGTGTAGGTGCAGATGTAGGCGTGTGTAGGTGCAGATGTAGGCGTTGAATTTGCTCCCTCGTAGCGGGTCGATTTTTGAGTCGACTCAAAAGTCCTTCCCTCATCCTTGTCGGTCCCACGTGTAGTGTAGGCGTATGTAGGTGCAGATGTAGGCGTTGAATTTGCTCCCTCGTAGCGGGTGCCTAAGCACTATACCCTCACGCCCCGCGGCCCTCGACTTTTGAGGCGCCTCAAATGCAGGCGTTGAGTTTGCTCTCTTGTGGTGGTGTCTAAGGTATACCCCGGGTCTGAACTGTGCTCACGCACGCCCTGAAAAGTCTTGAGTTTGCTCTCTTGTGGTGGTGTCTAAGGTATACCCCGGGTCTGAAGCCGAGGCGGGAACTGTGCTCACGCCCTTTCGCACGCGTTGTTCACACCGCTTCCTTCCTTGACAGATGGAGGGATCTGTCCACGCATCAGGGTGGATATGCCTACGGAGCACGACTTTTGAGGCGGCCAAAAAATGGAGGGATCTGTCCACGCATCAGGGTGGATGCCTTCATCATCCTTTATCATCCTTCATCATGCCTACGGAGTACGACGAGGCAGCAGCTCTGTACACTCACACCCTGCATCATCGTCTGTGCTTCACCCACCTCTCATTGCCCCTTCTACAGATGGAGGCGGCAGGGTGGATGCCTAAGGAGTATGACGAGGGGGCAGCAGCAGCACTCGCATTGCAACCTTTACACCCTTTGCTGTCTGTGCAATGCACTCTGAACCACCCCCCTTTCACAGATGGAGGCGTCTGGGTGGATGCCCAAGGAGTACGACGAGGGGGCGAGCAGCAACACTCACGCCCCCTCTTATCGCCCCCTTTTCAGATGGAGCAGCAACACTCACGCCCTTTATCATCGTTTGAGGTTGATTTTGAGAATTCTCAAAATCAACAGCAACACTCACAACCTTTATCATCATCTGTGCTTTACCCTCCTCTTATCGCCCCCTCCACAGATGGAGGCGTCTGGGTGGATGCCCAAGGAGTACAAAGAGGGGCAGCGGGGGGCGAGCAACAGCACTCACAACCTTTATCATCGTCTGTGCTTTAACCACCTCTTATCCCCCCCTCCACAGATGGAGGCGTCTGGGTGGATGCCCAAGGAGTACGACGAGGGGGCAGCAGGGGGCGAGCAGCAGGCGCAGGCGGGCAGTGGCTTCGTGTGGGACGAGGCGTCGGGGTATTACTATGACAGCACCACTAGCTTCTATTACGACAGTGCTTCAGGTGCGGTTTGTTGAGTGGTTGTTGAGTGGACGTGTGTGTGTTACCGTGAGGGACGTGCTTTGTGTGTGGGATGAGGCGTCGGGGTATTGCTACGACAGCACCACCAGCTTCTATTACGACAGCGCCTCAGGTGCGGTTCATGTATGGGGACATGTATGTGTGCGGCGTGCCTATGCGCTTCAAGGGCTTTGTGTGGGATGAGGCGTCGGGGTATTGCTATGACAGCACCACCAGCTTCTATTACGACAGCGCCTCAGGTGCGGTTCATGTATGGGGACATGTATGTGTGCGGCGTGCCTATGCGCTTCAAGGGCTTTGTGTGGGATGAGGCGTCGGGGTATTGCTATGACAGCACCACCAGCTTCTATTACGACAGCGCCTCAGGTGCGGTTCATGTATGGGGACATGTATGTGTGCGGCGTGCCTATGCGCTTCAAGGGCTTTGTGTGGGATGAGGCGTCGGGGTATTACTATGACAGCACCACCAGCTTCTATTACGACAGCGCCTCAGGTGCGGTTTGTTAAGTGGTTGTTGAGTGGACCGTGTGTGTGTTGCGATGAGCCTTGTGCTTCACGTGGCATCGGGGTATTACTATGATAGCACCACCAGCTTCTATGATCCCCCCCCAATCAGACCTCTACTACCACTCGGATTCGCGCCAGTGGTTCCGTTACGACGTCACCACCGGGGAGTACAAGCAGTGCTCAGCTGAAGAGCTGGAGGCGGCTGGTAGCGCCCCTGCTGTTATGGCTGTCTGTCGCTGCTGCCACCGCCGCTGCTAAACGTGATGCTGCCGGTGCTGCTGGTGGTGGTGATGCGTCGGCAAGTCAGCCCCTCGTTTACCCCTCCCTCCTTCCTTCCTCCCCACCCCACTCCTCCCCCTCTCCCCTTCCCATATCAGACCTGTATTACCACTCGGATTCGCGCCAGTGGTTCCGCTACGATGCAACGACCGGGGAGTACAAGCAGTGCTCAGCTGAGGAGCTGGAGGCTGCTGATAGCGCCCCTGCCGCCATGGCTGTCGCTGCTGCCACCGCCGCGACTAAACGCGACGCTGCCGCTGCAGCCGGTGCTGCTGCTGCTGCTGGTGATGCGTCGGCGAGTCAGCCAAAAAACGAGGGGACAGCTGAGGGAGCGGGGAAGGAGGGGCAGGGAAAGGGAGGGAAGGAGGAGCAGCAGGGGGAGAAGAGGAAGAAATCGTTTGCTGAATCCGTGGCTGCAGCAGCTGCCTCGGCGTTTCAGGCGGAGAAAGAGCGGGAGGCTGCGAGGAAGAAGCAGCAGGAGAAGGAAAAAGAAACCGCTGCTGCCTCCGCCGCTGCCTCTGCCGGTGCTGCTGGTGGTGCTGGTGGGGATGGTGCGTCTGCTGCTTCTGGTGGTGGTGCTGCTATGGAGGGCAAGATTCGGACGTATGTGCCGTCTGCCGCCCTGACGTCCCAGGTGGCAAAAGAAGGTGAGGCGGGGCAGGTAGCGGGCGGGCAGACTGACGGGCAGAAGAAATCTGAGGGGGGCGTGAAGGAGGAATTGAAGGAGGGGAAGGATGGTGAAGGGGAGGGGAAGGGAGGTGGGAGTGGTAAGTCCTCTACTGCTTCTGCTCTGGCTGCTGCTGCTGCGAAGGCGGCTCAGTCAAGGCTTGCGGCTGCTGCTATGAGTAAGGAGAGCAAGGAGAGGGATAAGGAGCGGGAGGAGAGGCAGAAGGAGAGGGAGAAGGAGCGGGAGAAGGAGCGGGAGAGGGAGAAGGAGAAGGAGAAGGATCGGAGCAAGGATAGGGAGAGGGAGAGGGAGCGGGATAGGCACAGGGATCGGGAGCGGGAGAGGGAGCGGGAGAGAGACAGGGACAGGCGCGATCGGGACCGCAGGGACGACCGGGATTATCGAGACAGGCGCGACGACAGGGACAGAGACAGAGACAGGGACAGGGACAGAGATAGGGAGAGGGAGAGGGAGCACAGGAGGAGGGAGGAGAAGGACGGGCGTGGGGCGGAAGGAGGGCCAGGAGGGCCAGGAGGGGGAGAAGGTGGTGGGGGTCCACCGCAGGGGTACTCAGGGGCGCCACCGGAGGGGTATGGGGGATACAGTCAGGCGTATGGGCAGCAGCCGCCTCCCTATGGCCAGGCTCCCCCTTACGGCCAGTACCCTCCGCCACAGCCGGGCCCGTATGGGGCACCGTACGGCCAAGAGCAGCAGCCGCAGCCGCCACAGCAGCAGCAGCCTGCTTACGGGCAGCAGCAGCAGCAGCCTTACAACCCGCAGCAGCCGCAGCAACAGCAGGCACAGGGCCAGTTTCCCTCTCCTGCCGCTGCTCCTGCTGCTGCTCCGGCCTATCCCTCTGCCGCGCCCTCCTACTCACCTGCTCCTAGCTACCCCCCGTCTACCGGTTACATGGGTTACCAGCCTCCCCCTTATGACCCGTATGCAGCTGGTGCTGGCTCTACTGCCCCTGCTGGCTCTGCTGTTGGTGCTGCTCCTGCTGGTGCTGCTGGTGGTGCTGGTGCTGCCCCTGCTGGTTCTGCCCCCTCTCCTCCTGCACCTATGCCTCCCACCACCACTCCTTCCTCCTCCGCTGCTGCTCCGCCGTCCCTCTCCTCGCCCTACAACCCCTACTCGCTTGCTCCCTCCTCTGCTCCCCCAGTCGCCTCTTCCTCTGCCGCTCCTCTCACCGCCTCTTCTGCACCCCCCTCCTCCTACGATCCCTTCGCAGCTGCTGCGAGCATGGGGGGAGGAGCAGCGGGAGGAGCAGGGGGAGCGGGGGGAGCCGGGGGAGCGGCGGGGGACGGTGCGTATGATCCCATTGCTGCAGCGCTGGAGGCGGTGGGAGGGATGCCGGATTGGGTCACTGCGCCCATACCTGCTGCTGCTGCTCCTGCTGGAGGTGAGACAGTAGCTCCTGCTGCTGCTGCTGGAGGTAAGATTGGTGCGTATGATCCCATAGCTGCAGCGCTGGAGGTGGGGGGAGGGATGCCGGACTGGGTGACTGCGCCCATACCTGCTGCTCCTGCTCCTGCTGGAGGTGAGACAGTTTTTCCTGTTGAAGGTGAGATAGGTGCAGCGCTGGAGGTGAGACAGTTGCTCATGTGAAGGTGAGATAGGTGCAGCGCTGGAGGTGAGACAGTTGCTCATGTGAAGGTGAGATAGGTGCAGCGCTGGAGGTGAGACAGTTGCTCATGTGAAGGTGAGATAGGTGCAGCGCTGGAGGTGAGACAGTTGCTCATGTGAAGGTGAGATAGGTGCAGCGCTGGAGGCGGGGGGAGGGATGCCGGATTGGGTGACTGCTCCTGTGCCTGCTGCTCCCGCTCCTGGCGGAGGTGAGATTGCTGCTTCTGCTGAAGGTGAGAGAGGCGCTGCTAGGTGCAGCGCTGGAGGTGGGGGGAGGGATGCCAGATTGGATGACTGCTCCTGTGCCCATGCCTGCTGCTCCCGCTCCCACTGGAGGTGAGATTGCTGGTTTTTTTAGGCGCCTCAGAAAATGATAGGTGCAGCGCTGGAGGTGGGGGGAGGGATGCCGGACTGGGTGACTGCTCCTGCGCCCATACCTGCTGCTCCTGCTCCTGCTGGAGGTGAGGCAGTTGCTCATGTGAAGGTGAGATAGCTGCAGCGCTGGAGGTGGGGGGAGGGATGCTGGACTGGGTGACTGCTCCTGTGCCTGCTGCTCCCGCTCCTGCTGGAGGTTAGATTGCTGCCTCTGCTGCTGCTCCTCTTGCTGCTCTTGTTGCCTTTCTTGTTGCTGCTGCTGCTGCTGCTGCTTCATCTCCTGAATCTGTTTTTTAGACAAACGCAGCTGCTGCACCTGTTGCTGCTGCTACTGCTGGTGCTGCTGCTGGTCTTTGCGTGGCATCTATCCCATCACACTCCCCTCATCACCCTCCCCCCGACACACACCCCTCTGTGCCCCTGTCTCCACCTTCTGCTGTCCTCTTTGCCCATGCAGCCCCCTCCCCTCTGCCATACTCTTCCGGGCTGTTTTGAGAAATCTCGAAAGTGACACACCCCTCTGTGCCCTTCTGCCCACCTTGTCCCGCCCTGCTTGCCTGTGCAGCCCCTGCCCCTCTGCCATACTAGCCTGGGCACCTGCCGCGCCCTGCTACTGCTAGCACTGCAGCTATACCCTCCCAAATCAGTCCCTATACCCTCCCTCATCACACCCCCCGTCTGTGCCCGTGTGTCCACTCTTCCCTGCCCTACTTGCCTTTGCAGCCCCTGCCCCTCTGCCGTACTCGCCCGGGCTCCTCCCCCGCCCTGCTGCTGCCTGGCAGCCACCTCCGCCTCCCAACTACTAGCTGTGCCGTTGGGGGGGGGTAGAGTGAGGCCTGGCAGCTGTTTCTTAGGCGCCTTGACAAAGGGCTCCTGCCGCGCCCTGCTCCTGCCTGGCAGCCACTTCTGCCTCCCAATTACCAGCTGTGCTGTGTGGTGGAGGCTAGTGGAGCAAGGGCCTGAGAGCGTGGCAACTGCTGTGCTGCTGCTGCTGCTTACTGTCGCTGCCATTGCCGCTGCCGCTGTCAACTGCTGCTGTCACTTGGTACTGCTGATTGGCGCTGCTGATTCGAGCTGCTGATTGGAGCTGCCAATCGGCGCTGCTGATTGGCGCTGCCAATTGGCGCTGTTGTTACAGCTGTGTAGGGCGGCTGGCTTCAGTGATTGTCAGGATCAGTAGTTACCTTTGTTGCATGGCTGATTGAAAGTGGTTTTCCCTGAGGCTGGTGGAAATGACTTGGGCGTGCATTGCACTCTGTGGCATGTCAGACTGGTTGTTAGGAAGGCTGACCGTGCTGGTGTGACTTGTGATCCAATTACTGGTTTAGTTCGACCCAAATTTCATTTTGACCATTTGCTGCGTTATCCAGAGAATATCATGCATTCTTCAGATTTCAGAAGCTGTATAAACGCATGTCTTTCTGTAACGCTTATCTGAATGTCCCGACACTTCGCTTCGCAAAAACCCTCAACCTCCCATTCGGTAAAGCCTGAGCCCAGAACCATCACTATCAAGTCGAGTGACTTGCTGGCCCTCCGCAGATATTGAAGCTCGCGTTTGCTGCTTAGGAAAATCCACCTCCGTGATTACTACAGTCGCATTGTGCGAGGCTTATCGTCAGTTGCACGAAGGACGTCGAAAACTCACAACTTTTGATTCCCTCAGAACGGTCACCCACGATGTCGTTGAAGTTGTATTTATAGGCGCTAAAAAGATTATGGAGGCGGTCACTACAGTTGCCGTGTGAGGGAATTATTATCCTCTGTTGCGAGGTTGTGAATCCCCCCTCCCCTCCTCCTCCTCCCTCCCGCACACACTTACGATTCTTGCGAACTCTAAAAAAAACTTCTTTCGCTTTTCTTCGACGGAGCAGCTGCGTCAGGTCGTTAGTTTTAGCAAACCCCCGTCGGCGCAGGCATGAAGAAGCCCCTTTCCCCGTCTTCAGGCGCGCGGGGCGGAGGCGGCGGGGGAAGAGGCGGAGGTGCGAGGGGGCGAGGGGGAAGCGGAAGGGGGGGAGGCGGAAGGGGAAGGGGAGGCGGCGGAGTGCTGCGGCTAGGCGTGTTGGAGAAGTATGTTCCGCGCGCGGACGGGGGAGTGCGGAAGGGGTTCCGCGGGCGGAAGAGATACATGGCACCGCAGCGGACACATCTTTCCGCCAATGAGCTCCGTGCGTTGCATTCCCCCTCCGCCCTTTCCCCAACCCCTCCTTCCCGGTCCTCGCCTCAGCCGCACGGCCTTGCCCCGCATCCCCTGCCCCCTTCTGTGTTACCAAGTGGCCCTCTGTGTGCCCCACGCATTCTCTACTAGACCCCTGCCTTCCCTATCCTGGATAAGCCGCACGGCCTGTTCAACCTGATAGGGAAGTTTGTTGTACTCATTTGACTTTCACAATGCATTCAACAAAGTGTTGTGCTCCCTGTGCTTTGTTGCGCAGACTTGCAAGTTTGAAAACTCTGAACCCTGTACCCTATCCGCTCTTGTCGGCAGGGAAACGGCGAAAGGTACTTAACGACGCGAGAACAGTGCAGAAATACCGAAAGATGATTGGGCGGGAGAGGAAGGCGACAGGGACGGACTGGACGAGCGGATTGATAGGGGCTGATGGGAGGACGGAAGAGGAGGGAGAAGAGGGGGAAGGGGAAGAGGAGGAGGAGGAAGAGGAAGAGGAAGTAGAGGAGGAGGTTGGGGAAGAGGAGAATGAGGAGGAGGAAGAGGAAGCGGGTCAGGATGACGTTTCTAGTGATGAAGAGGAGGAGGGAGCAGGGCAAGAGGGCCAAGGGTCTGGTGGTTTGGGAGCGAGAATCAAACGGGAGGAGGGTGTACAGGAGTGGGATAGGGGCGGTGTGAGCAAGGGGAGGGGACGAGGCCGGGGACTGGGAGGCGGGAGAGGAGGAGAGAGAGGGATGGCGGGTGGAAATGCAAGGGATGCTGAGGGTGGGAGAGGAGGAGGAGAAGGTGTGCGGCAGAGGCCGTTGAATCGGCTGGAAAGGATATGGCAGAAGAGAGAGGAGGAGGCTGCAAGGCAGGCGGCAGAGAGGGATGCGAAGAGGAGGGAGATGGAGGAGGGGAGGAGGAAGAGGGATGAGGTGGAGAGGAGGAGGAGGGAGTTGAGAGGGCAGATGAGGAAGAGGACGAAGAGCGGGCAGGTGGTGATGAAAGTGAGGATGGAGCATTTGTTGGAGTCGATTCAGCGCAGCCAGGGGAAATAGTGGGTTTTAGAAACATGGCAAACAAGAGGAAGAGGACGAAGAGTGGGCAGGTGGTGATGAAAGTGAGGATGGAGCATTTGCTCGAGTCGATTCAACGCAGTCAGGGGAGATAGTTGGGGTACAATCCTACTGCACAAACAAAACCATCACTTAAAAAACGATGAGAAATGATTCACTAAGGTAGGGGTGTGCAGCGCGGTACTACGGTACTAAGATTTTTGTGACACGAGGATAGGAACGTACCGTACCCAGAGTCAGTTTTTTCAACTTTTATTACAGAAAGCGAGCATTGGTGGGTTTATGCTAGAGCCCTTACTACGTCACGATAGTTGTAGTGGAATAAGATGTGGCATGCTGATTTTTTTCTTGGTATGTGGCATGCCTGGTAGCATGGTGGTTGCTAAGTATGGAGGTACAAATCAAATTGGTCAGCTATATTTCTATTCAGTGACGGATGGGTGTACGTCATCTAGAACATCCTAAAAAGAGGAAGTTGACCTCAGTTCCCTTGGAGAGGGTGACGTAATGCCTTCACCAATCACCACGCGACACATAGTTTAAATCGAAAAGGCCAATCAAGGTGTCAGACGCGCTGGGCCACTTAGAAGTGTCGAGATGGACTACACCACCCAAAAGTACAAAAGAGGTCTTAGTTCCACGATGAGGGAACACTACTTTCCACACCCAGTACAGCACATTTCCAGTGCGAGACTTGTGGAAAACATAGCTCAGGGAAGAACTGAAAGCCTGATTGCGTGCAGTATGAACAGAGCATTTAGGGTGTAGGAGCCCAGTTGTGCTGCGCACTTGTGAGTTTTGATTCTGGCCTGATACAGAACCTGCGGCTCGAAACTGGACTATGTGAAATTCAGCTGGGCGGGTCGTTTTCGTTTCTTTCCAATTGACTGTGAGAGGTACATGCTGGTGCGCAGTGGTCTACAACGGTGAACATTGAGAACTGTTCGTTTTCGTCGTCAATCAAGCAAGCCCATCAAGCGTTCTGTATCTGTTTCTTCCCCCACCGTTCCATTCTGCCTACCACTCGCAGTCACTCCCGAAATCGGCCACTGGGAGATTAGTAGTAGTCAAGCAAATTAGACGACTTTTTGGGGTCAAGGGATCAAGTTGATGCTCGTTCCGTAGACATGGGAGAGACGTCCAGACTTTTGGGAGTAGACTAACATAGGGGAATCTGCGTGCCTTGGATTGGAAAGAGGAGCTTCGCCGGCAGCACTGTACGTCTCACGGGACGCCAGTCTTTGAAAACCTTTCCATCAGGCCGCGATAAATGAGTCCTCACTTCCATGATATAAATGTTTCGTTTTGATAGTAGCGGTCATTCTCCTCTGAAACAAAATCTTCCGTGACGAAAGACGCGGGCAAGAAAGACCCACACCTCCTTCACTTCCTCGCCACGTTTGATCCCGCGACAAGCGGCAATTGTCTCCATCTCCGCGTGCGGAAAGGTTAGAATAGAGGAGCCTTTACCCTAAATATCGACTTACCTCCAAGAAGGTCGGCGTGGTAACCCGGTTCGCACTCCTTCGGCGAAAATCTTCAGCGTCGCAAAGCGCTTGACCCGGGATCTGCTCGACGCGACATGATGTCGACACTGATCCATCGTAACTGGCGTCACGGACGTGACTCCGTCGCACCCGCTCCTGCAGCAACAGCCGTACGATTCGTCATCGCGCTCCTGCTCTTCATCATCCAGCACGTTCATTCCGTTCGCGTCGAGAAAACCCAAGACGTCATCATGGCTAAAACCCCCCGAATCCGCGTGCATAACGTGGTTCCCTGCGCGGATCGATCAGAGAACATGATCACGAGCAACATCGTCAGTAGCGCAGAACCCGCCGCCGCCACCGCCCGCACCGCTGCCACTGATTCCGTCGGTGGCGGCGAGACAGGCGGGGAAACTGGCGAGGATGACGGGAGTGACTGTGTGATCAAGGCGCACCACGCGGGAATGCTTCGCCCGCATCCCGCGTTCGTCCGCCTGCACCGAGCGGCCGTGCGGAAGGCGCTGGATGCGGCCAGGCGGAAACCGAAGGAAGATCCGCGCGCGCTTCCCCCGCATCGGCGGAGAGTAAGGGGCGCGGAGGACCTGAACTTGCGCTCGGCGGAGGATCTGAACTCCCTGGTGTTCGTGCAAGTGATGGCGGACGATTCATCCGACGAAAAGCGGCCGGGGGAAAGCGCAACATCTTTTGAGTCGAAGATTTGATTTCTCCGGCACTGTCAGACGAGCCAACATCAGAAGTCGCTTCGGCGGCAGCATCCAAGGCCTGAGCAGCGGGTTTGTCGAAGAGTGCTACTAATAGTAAGGACATCGACGGGCGCATACAGAAGACGACCGAATCTACATGTAGAAGCAACGGAAACGGGAACTCGGCCGCGGAATCGGGAAGCAAGGGTGGGGGACGAACGAGGGAGGAAGCAAAGAAGAGTACACGGGTTTCTCAACTTCAGGTTTCATGGCCGCTTATTTTTTCTTAGCAACGATTGTGAAGGTGGCAAGGAATGGATATCAGAAGCATCATCAGACCCACTGATGATGCTAAGCGGTAATGAGACGGACGGGATCCGGTGAAGTGACACCGCAGGTGACGATTTGAGCGGTAAGCATAAGTTTCTTCAGTTACTGCTGTATGTAGGATACGCGTTAGTTCGTATCAGGTGGGCTGTGATTGCCTAATAAAGTGGGTGTTTGTATGTGGCATGGTTTGCACTTGTTTTTGCGTTCACATTGCGCCCATGTAGCGTGAGTGAGTAATCTTGCAGATATATTTCTGAAATCGTTGTTAACTCCATTTCACAAGGTCCACTGTGCCTCACAAGAGCATGAGCCTCACAAGAGCATGCGCCTCACAAGAGCGTGCAAGATCGTGCGCCTCATTGGACCCGTGTTGTGTACCAAGAACCGCTTTGGTGCGCAGCACAATGGTGCGATGCGGTGCACCAAGTTTGAAAGCTACTGCCAGGCCACGGAGTGCAAAGGCCTCATCGTCAAGGAGAAGCAGGGAGTAGCAACGGTTGTGCTCCGCACGCAGTCGCATTCGCGAATATTTCTTGCCCACCGCTTCCTGACTCATGAAATAGAAGCACTGCACCGCACTGGATCGGTAGCTACGCAACATTTGCTCCTCCTCACAGCCCAAGGAGCCCGTGTAATTTTCCTCCCATACATGGGTGGGCTGAACGTCGCCAGGAGGATACTGCTTGACGGTACAGTCTATGCGTACCTCTGCTGGATCTTGGGCAGACTCAGGCCACTGCTCAATGGCCCAATTGACGGGTCGCGACGCGAATCGTGATACATTTCAGACGCCCTTGTTCACATTTGCGATGCGGCTAGTCAATATCTTGAACACTGAACATTTCAGATTTCCGTTGTGGTCTTGGCGCCAAAAATTTCGTCCACTCGAAGGTAAAGCGACAACCGCAAATAGGTTTCGCGAACGGTGTGTGGCATCCAGCTGCATCGCAAAACCAAACGCTCACGAAAACGGCTACGTGTTTTTGTGTTGATTCACCACGTCTAGCCTTCCAGAAAGAAGTGCTTTCTACACCTACTATTCTCTCTTAACATGACTGTGCATAACATGATATTATCTCTCCTTTGAAAATCCACAGCATCATCTACAACACAGATACATTAACTCACTCAGCTATGCATAAAAGAGCATTGATGACAAGTAAGCACCTCAGAGCAAACCATTAGAGAACGGGGGACACTAACAATATTAAGAGGTTAAAACTACAATCCAACCCAGTATGAGCGGCCGTTAGGGTTGTGAACGGGCGACATGGAAGGCGCCGTGACTGCCCATTCGTACCACACCTGTTCCGGGAATACGGGGCAAGGTGATCGAACCCCGGGCACACAGAGCAATACAGGGGACAGAGGGAGAGCAGGGGGGGTGCGGGGGAGGAGGGAGATGGAGCGGGCGACAAAAAGCGAGGGAATGAAATAACAGAGAGGACCTTAGTGGCTTCAGGCTTTACACGCCTTAATATCAAATGATTCAAGGACCAGCACATGATTATCAACCGATAGAGAAACCAAATCATTAGAATCACCTCAGCGGAACCAGCCCCACACGTGAACAGCACCTGATAGAGGAACCAGTCATTAATAGCACACCAGTGGGCCCAGCATATAAACAGCACCTGATAGAGGAACATACCTTGGTGGGCCCAACGCATCGCCAGAAGTGCACTTGTAACTTCTCGGGTGGGGCATGTGATGTGAGCCTTTTGCATGAGTGGTAAGAGCCTCACGGCAACAAGCACCTCATGCAAGAAGCTCAACAGCAGCATCCCTGTTGTACAAAAAGCTGCACGCCAACATACCTTGGTGGGCCCAACGCATCGCCAGAAGTGCACTTCTAGCCTCTCCCCCGCTGGCACGTATACGGGGAAGCGCAGCGGGAAGAATATGGGGAACCTGGAGGAGGGAGGAAGGGGAGAACGGGGATGGAGTGGGGGTGAGGAAGGAAAAGGGGACGGGAAGAGCAGTGAGCAGCAGGAGTGCACTTCTAGCCTCTCTCCCACTGGCATGTATACAGGGAAGCGCAGTGGGAAGAATATGGGGAACCTGCGGGGGTAGGGGGAGGGGAGGGGGGCACAGAGAGGAAAAGAACCGATGCGGAAGGAAGAAAGGGGGAGCAGTGAGCAGCAGAAGTGCACTTGAAGCTTCTCCCCCACCCGCATGTACACAGGGAAGCGCAGCGGGGAGGATATGGGGAACCTGCAAGAGGGGGGGGTGGGGGGGGGGTGCGGATGAGGATGGGCAAATGACTGGGGAGAGCAGTGAGCAGCAGAAGTGCACTTGAACCTTCTCCCCCAGCCGCATGTACACAGGGAAGCGCAGTGGGGAGGATATGGGGAACCTGGAAGGGTGAGGGAGGCGAGAGGAGAAGGGATGGCGAAAGAACAAACTGGTAGGGGGGATGGTAAGGGCAGTCAAGAGAAGAAAAGTGCTTTTAGCACAAAGA